AATGTAATAATACAGATTTTTAATTATGCTCTGGTCATTATATGAATATTTTATTTTTTTATTTAATTAGGCTTAAAACACAGCGAGTCGCAATATTATGCTATCGTTTATCATTTTGTATGCAATTTCTCTCTCTCTCTCTCTCTCTCTCCCTTCTATCTCTCGCTCTCTCTCCCTATCTCTCTCCCTCTCTATCTCTCTCTCTCACTCTTTGAATATTAGATATAAATACATTTAATTTAATTTAAAATATTCTTATATTCAGCTTAAGCACAAGAAAAACTTTTGATAAATGGTTTTATGTGTAACAAAACAAAATAATAATGAAATAAACATTCCTAAGAGCTGTCAAAGATATTTGATAAACATTTTATACTTTCTCTGAAATCCCTAGCATAAACTCATTAAACATACAATATTAACATATGTATAATCAAATGCATCTCCTATAAATACTTAGACTAATTTCCCCCATACAAAATTATGATGCTTATAGAATTCTCGCCAGACGCTTGCTGAATTTATTTGATTGCCTCCATCTCAGATTGACACCCGCTTTTGGCTTTAAAGAGAGCCACTTGGCATTACCCATGCTCCTGGCAGAAGCCAGCCGGCCCCACTTGTGCCCCAGCTCCTGGAGCAGCTCATTTTTTAGAGCTTTTCAAGCGCTGCTTAATTGGATGTGCTCCACGCTCCCTTCCCCGCTCCTGCTGCTGCGCTCCTTCCCCTCGTGCTGCTGCCGGGGCCGCACATGTGCGCGCAATGTGCTATAAAAAACTACAAGTTGCAGTGGAAAGAGTTGGCTAAAAAGCACACACACACACACACACACAAAATCAGTAAGCCAACACAAAATGATGGCAAGTTTGTCGCCCATTTCGTAAAATAAATATAAAAAAATTAAGAAGAAAAAAAATAGAGAAACGGAGCGACGGATGGCGACGAATGGCGCCGCGGCTGTCACGAGGCGCGCAGACAAACGCTTAATGCTAATATTATTTTCTTGCTTAACAAGCGTTGGGCAGCCCGAGCAGGAGTCTGGATGGGGAGCCGTGTGGCTGGGGGATCCTACCCGTGCAGTATAGAGTGCTGGGCCGTGTGACTTATTTGCGCAAGCCATAAAAAATTTAACTTTATTTCGCCATTTTTAATTTCCTACTCCGCGGCGTGCATTTGGCGTAAACAGTCAACGTTGGACAATAACTACAAAACGTGGACCAGAGTCCGACTCGGCGGAGTCCGGGCCAGAAGCCCGGAACCCAAATACAGGACCCGTACATAAGCCGGGTGAAAAGAACAATACGAAAAAAAACTTGACTGCTGCTGGAAGTCCTGCTGCTGCCGTTGCTCCTGCTGCTCCAGCTATATTTGTATATTTCGTCTACATATTTATTTCTTTTTTTTTTCCTGCTGGCTGCATGCGCGAGCGCGGAAAACAAACAGCAAATAATTCAAAGTGGATACAACTAAAGCAAAGTCAAAGCTAATATACGAAAATGTAATAAAAATTAAAAAGAAATAAAAACGAATTAAAATGAATTCAAAGTCGCCAACGGCGAATGCGAAACAACATCCAAACGATGCCGCATTTTAGCGACAGTTGTGCGACTTCCAGCCGAACGGATTGGACACATGTGCAGGAAGAAGGAGCTGGATGCCAGCATTTTGAGTAATCCCAGTAGAAAAAAAAAGAGTTATACAAGCTCAAATTTATAGATTTAAGTTATACTTATTTTAAGTTATCTTTTATAATAAATGTAAGTCTGTTCATTTCAAATTTTTAACGACTAAAACCGATGGTAAAACGTACACAAAAACGCACGCAAAACGCGCGGGTATTGGCTTGAACTGCTTACTGATGAATGTAGTGTCAAGCAGTGTACTGCTGCAAAGGTGCGAAACTTAGCTAAAAATCAACTACTTGCCGGAGCTGTATGTAAAGCAGTTTTAATTTACTGAAATTTATTTAACAGTCTATTTAAAGCACTGACAGAAAATGTTTATAAATCTCAAATTTACAATTTAGTTAAACATATATTAATTTTAGTAATTTAAAATAATAAATATATGCATAAATACAACAAATACAAAAAACAGCGCAACATTTGATCCAACTAAAATTTACCAATTTATTATATTAATACTTACATAATTTATAATTTATTTCAAATTCTTAAAAACATATAGTTATTAATTTCGTACAAAACAGATAAATAAAAGGGCATTATAGTAATAAATACATAATATAAACCAATACATCAAGCCCTCGATCTATATACAGTTTACCAAATATTCAAATTAAGATTTTCAAAATAATCAATATAAACTTTAATCTAATTACACTTCTGTAATCTCAAAGTCATGCTAGCTGTCAAATAAATGTTCTTGTTAAGTTAAATAAAACCACATAATAATGCATTGGGAAATATATTTAATTTCCTCATACACCTGCCAATCAAACCCATCGAATTCACTTCCGTCGCTGGGCCGCGCCCGCAGTGAGCAAAGGATCGGAACAATTGAGGAATAATAGAATGTTTTGGCCAGCATTGCGAGCTGACCCACAGGAAGTGCAAAAGCGGGACAGCACTGTGGGCAGCCGAAAGGAAGCGAGGCAGGACCACAGCGACTGAAGGAAGCGATGCGCAACAGTTGCATGAAGTGCGGGCACTTCAAATTAATAAGAGGAAATGCGAATAACAATGGGCTATGGGAGTGGGAAAGGGAAAGGGAAGGGGAAATGGGAATGGGAATCGGAATCGGAATCGGAAAGGTCAGTGAGTGGAACGCCAGCAGTCTTTGACCACTGGCATGTCCTGCGTGCGGTCCTTTCTCACAGGTGTATCTCAGGTGTGTATCTATCTATTGCGCTGTGTGATTGTGCGTGTGATTCGAAGCAAATCGAGAGCCTTGACCAGCGCTTTGATGCGAGCCGCTCGAGTGCAGCGTAAATCTAATTAACGCTCCTTAGAGCCCAGGCCGCCAACGCCACAGGATGCCCCGAGCAAGGACGAAGACAAAGAATCCAAACAACCATCGATCATCGATCAGCGGCTCTGTTTACTCGCTGCGATTTGCTGCGCCAATGAGAAAATTGAAAACTGCTCAAGGCAGCTAGCAGAGGAGAGAGCAGAGGACAGAGGACAGAGAGCTGAGAGCTGAGAGCTGAGAGCTGCGCCAGGACTACCTGTCGTCAGGCACTTAGCCTTGTGAGAAACGCGCTCCAGAAGTGCGCACAGCTCAAATTACGAATGCATAGCGCGACACGCCCCTTGTCCTCTGGCTCAATTGGCTGGAGCAGATCCAAGTGCGGCTCTTTAACTAATTTATGGGCTAGTCAGAGTTTAGTGAATGCATTACTCTTGTCTTACTGCAGTCGCCTGCTCGTCGACCACCCACTCGAGAGCCGTGCTGCCGTCTACTTATGCTCACTCTAATCCTGACTGATCCTCAGCCTAAATACCTGTTAACCTGTTTCTGTATACAAATATTGTTAGCACAAAGGGAAATGTTTTGCAAAAGGGAACGCTGAAATCTTCGATATTTATTTCTGGCTCTGCCACAACAAACGAGATTTTCTCAGCCCTGGCGATGCTATCGGTGCGAGGGTGGGCCCAAATCAAATTGCTTCTCCTCGTCCTGGGTTCCCACAGCCAGCGCTGCTTGAGCTCTCTCTGTGTGCGTGTGTGTGCGTGTGAGTGTGTGTGACCTATGTTCCATATTTTGCAATTTAGATTTCTACACAATAATATCCTTTTGCCAGCGAGCGACTGCTGCAGTTCCGCTCACCGGAAGGAAGTTCACAAATTTTATTGTTTGAGCGCTCTGGGCCGCCTTTGGGCACATCGCAAAGAGTTTCTTGAGCCGCCGTGGGCGTGGCCAGCATATGTGACGGGCTGAACAGATTGGGAGCTTAGTTAATTTGGAACGATGTGAAGAGAGTTGAGACTAAGAAAAAATATATAATGCCTTCTGTTTTTTTTTGTTCTGCCTCCAAATGATTTGTCAAATTTCATATCATTTTTAGAGCAGAGCAAAGCAAAATAATTGTTTAGAAAAATCTAATTTAGGTTAGTCTAAAGATGTGTTTAAAAAGAGTAGTAAACTATTGTATTAAAAATTGTAATTATAAAAAATTGTAATTATATTTTTTTCGATATATATCATATGATCTAATTGTGAAGATTTCAGTTTCGATACTGTAAATAATGCAGTAAATGTTTTTAGAAGGTAACAATAAGATCGTCTATAACATTCTTATTATTCTTAATTATATTTTTAAAAATGTCTCCTTTGTTTTCAATTTACGAATTAAGGCGAGAGTATTATTTAAAACAAATTTTATGTATATATTAA